GAAGTGCGGGGATCGCAGGGGAGACGGAGCCCGAGCCGAGCTCCTCGCCCTGGAGCGGCCCCAGCGGGGAGGGGTTTCATGTCACTGCTGAGTGAGGGTGTTTGTGCAAGAAATACAGCATAGGAAGAAGGGATTTTATTTTGAGAACCTTCAACAAAACTGTCACTGTCAGGCAGCAAGTACCCAGGGCCTTTAAAGCAACATTCATACAATAGTATCATATTAAAAGACTCTAGTTGAACTTTTTAAAGGAGCAAGGAGGGTTTTTTTTTTTTTTTTTTTTTTCCATTTAGCAAAGGATGATGTTACAGTGACAAGGGAATACTCTGCTATTAAGCAAAGTGATGAAATAAATTCTCAAAACTGATTTACATACAGTACACAGCTCAGGCTATGTTATATGCTAGTAAGTGAAGAAGATCAGATTCATATTAAATACATAAGTGTCAGTTAACATTCACATTTCCATGAAAACACATGTTGATCTCTAAAACGCAAGACCTAAACTAACTGAACCTGTGGTTAGAGGATTTTGCTTTCAAGGCTCTGGAAAATGTAAAGCTCAAAATAAATTAATTGAACTGAATATCTTAGCTAAGCTTAAACAACATCTTGAATGCCTTTTTAACAACTGATATTTTAGTAACAGCATACTGTATGAAGTGGCATTTATTGGGAAGGTTTTCCCAAGTCAAAGCTCTTTCTACTTCTCCACCTTAGCAGTTTGATAAAGTTAAGACTTGCACTGAATACTTTGTCATGATGAAAAACCATTTTGTAGAATATATCAATGGGTAGATCTCCATTGGGATCTGCGTACTTCAGAGTTGTCATCGGAGTATACAAGGTGTTGGTTTGATGGCGAAAAGGTGGATTTTCTGCAAGAATTATCTTTACTGTATGCTGCCAAGAAGGAGAAAACAATTTTTAAAGAACTTTATCAAAATAATAATGTAAAAATGGCTTTCAGTTGGGCAGGGGAAGAGTCGAAGAATACACTTCAGAGTTGTGCAAAACTTAATGTGAAGTTTTATTAGAATTTAGTTAGACTTTCAAAACTTTTTTTAAGCCCAAAGTACTTCTTACTACTTCCAAGTCCTGTTTCTGTTATTCTGTATCATAGTGATATCACCTTCCACAAGTATCCTGAATACTCCTTATCCCTGCATACCCACAATAGCCAATGTCCTCTCCCCGCAACCAGCCTGAACTGTAGAGGGCTTCCTGCAGAAAGCCCTAAACACCAGAAAACCTCTCCCTTTTGGGATGTGCTGGTCTTGGGTACTGAGCAAACTTCACCCTGACAAAGGGACAGCTCTAGTGAGACAAAGAGGGGCCTTGAAAAACAGTGGGAAGACCATGTTTTATCTGGTGACACTGTGGAATGTCCAGCCTTCACCAGGTAATGTCCAAGTACATCTGTGCCCTCAATGCCATTTAAACTACAATTCACAATTGTCTCTCAAACTCTTTACTATTCATTAAATTATTAAATATAAATAAATAAATAAAATTGTTGGTGAGTTACCTCTGCAACATCCTCAGCACTTTGTCCCAGACTCTGGAAAATTTGTTTGTAATTTTTAAGGTAAATGTTAGTAAACATCTCAGCCGTTTCCTTGTCTGCAGCTGAAAGATCCATTTTCATTCCATCTTCAAAAACTTTTCTTTCAAACTCTGTGACCACCGGGCCTGGTTCGATCAGACTTAACCTGTTCAAAGACATGCTTGTTATTGATTCTTCTCATACTCCTAGCTATCCTTACAGAAGGATATTGAATTGTCAGTTTGGAGTACATGTTAGCAAACAGTATGAAATGGTAAATTCTGTAATGGTGATTAGCATCTAATGCTAATGGTAACTAGCACCTAAACTTTAACAATTTATTTTGTATGAAGGATGTGAACGTTTCTGTGCCTTTTGTGATGTGCAGTTTATATGGGTTCCTCGTTGTTTCTCCTAGATAGTAGGAAGCTTTAAACATTTATTCTGAATATATTTTAAAATTGTGTAAAATACATCAGTGATTCAATACTTACTGCAGCTTAAATTTGAGTGCCTGTATAGCTAAACTTTCACAGAATCCTTCCACAGCAAACTTAGATGCAGCATAAACATCATTAAACAGGATACCTGATGGTGCAAACAAGACATCCTGAGAATGTGATTGTATGCAACATACTAATATTTTCATTATTTTGCCAATATTTTAGGTTTAAGAATCTTGCATTTTCCCCAGATTTGTACAATCAAAAGAAAACCAGGAGCACAGCCACTTGTTCCTGAAATTACAGACCATAAAGTTCTATGAGAGATTTTCTTAAAAATGTGCTAGAGACATTTAAGACATGATCAGATTTCATCACATATCTTTGTGCAGAGTGTAATAAATGTACTTGCCTTTTCTCCACAATCATTTCCATCAAGAAAAAAATAATAGTAAAATTAAATCCTGTTTTCTAGAGAATGTCTAACAGTTGTGTTTAGGTTAAAAACTGGTAGCCTTACCCCCACTAAAAAAGACAATCCACTCTGCAAGTTTTGATGTTAAAATGTCCTGAGAGTAGTTTCGTAGTAAAATGCTACCAAAATACACACACACACACACACACACACACACACACACACACACTCTCATATATACATATATATATAAAGGAGATCTAAGTGCTATACTTCTCATTGTTGGAAGCTGAGCCTTACAGAGTGCAATAGTTTGCTATGCTAGCTATGATTTTTTTTTCAAGTGAAAAGAAGCAAATTTTAGATTTTGAATACTGAACTCTTAGTTTTAAACAAAGAAACAAAACATCTTTGCCTTGTATTCCCATAACACTGCTTATTATAACTATATGGCCACTCTTCCTCTTCTTCATGTCAGGTAAAATCTCCTTCAGGAGCCGAACCAGTCCAAAGAAGTTGGTATCCATCACGGTTTTCATTTCTTCTATGCTCTGACATTCAATAGGTCCAATGAGTCCCATTCCAGCATTGCTAACTGCACAAAATGGAAGGCACGACAGTGAGCAAAAACCTCCATAAACATTAACTTGATTTTTATCAGAAACTGTGATTTTTATCAGTTGATTTTTATCAGAAAGCATTTAAGAGCAAAATGAGAGAGCAAAATAAATGATGGAGACAAAAAGAGCGCTCATGCTGTTAGTAAAGCTTTGTGAATATACCTGTCATTGCCATTTTTTTCTTTTTAATTTTAAATTATGATGTTAATACAATTATTTCTATTTTACTTTTTATCTTATCTCTGATTAGTCCTTTTTATTTAAATAACAAAAGGATTACAGGCAAATGAGCAAAGAGTGATCTATATTTGTTTACTGTTCAGTACTAAGAAGCTACAATGAATTCCCATAGGAATGTGCAGAAGTCTTCAGTTTATCACACATGGCCATGTTCTATTCTACCTTCTGTTAATTTTTTATATTCTATCTTCAGGGAGAGAGAGGGGGAAAAAAGCTTAAATCAGTTAAGCTAACAAAGCTTTATTTGCATCATAGATTTTATAATTAGGGAATATTGATAAAAAAGGCATTCTGCACTGAAAGTAGTGTATCAGATTGGAGTATAATCCAGTTTGCTAGCAAACCCCCAAAAGAACCTTGTTAATCACTGCTTTAGTAATTTGTCAAAATGAAGGTGGATCCATGATTCTCTTTGAAGAGATCTAGTCACTGATGGTGTAAGCAACTTCCATCTTACTATTATCATTTATTTTACCAAAATAGTATGAAAACACTTCTTACTAAATGGTATGTAAAATAAAACTATAATTGTCAATACAAAATCAGAATACTTTCATTTACATTGTTTCTTTAATTGTTATCTCCCAAGTGCTACTACTTTACTATAGGAAATAGGGCTGTGCTTCATCTAAAGGGCAGAAACAGTCTTGTATGTGAAGATGGGGATTTACAATTAGTAAAAATTATCAGCTTACCACAAAAACTTCTTTTCTGCAACCACCTTTCTCCTTGGTAAAACAGGGAAAACCCCCTACCTCACAAAAGCGTGGTGAGGTTTAATCCACCTGTGTCTGCATAAGCTTTAAGGATCCTGAATAGAATACGCGATGTAAATATCATTACTTCAATCATTTAAAATTGCACTAATGCAATTCCCTCCAAGTATACAAAAGAACATCAAACAGAAAAGCGATGCCAGTTCATAACATACGTATCCAATACTTGCCTAAAACATCGATCCTCCTGTCGGGAATACTATTCACACACGTCCGAATGGACTCTTCATCACAGACATCCAGTTGTTTAATCTCCAGGGTTTTGCCCAGCCTGGCACCTGCGGCCTCCTCGAGCGGCGCGCTCTTGGCCAGGTTCCGCATGGTGGCAAACACTGCAACACACCAGCAGCAACGGCCGTCAGACACGGCCACAGAAAAGGTCTCCTTTCTACGCAGCATTAAAGAATGTTGCTTGCACAGCTGTATCTTAAACACCAAAAATACAACCCAAATAAAAATGTGAAGTAGAAATGCCACTGAATGTTTTTTTTTTGGTATGTAGACATGGCTTTCAGGTTCTGTATGCTTTTTTTTTTTAATCACAGCCAAGATGTTTAGCAGAGCAACAGTAATTTTAAGAAAAATTGTAAGGCAGCTGCTTCTTCTGGATGTGAAAGTGTTTTTATAAGGTACTTATCAAAACAGAAGTTACCTTTATCATTATTCTGACTTCATTACCCTAACAACTATGAAGCTGCACCCAAATCTCTTAGCTGTAAAACACAGTGGGAATAACTGTAAGGAACTGAATTTCTGCATGTGCTTTATTTGCCCTGTCCTCCATTTTCAGTCATAACAAATGTCTCGTTTTGGGGCAGGAAAATAATTTCCAACTCTTTTGTTGCCCCTGCAGCATTGGAATAATGAAGTGTGCTTTAAGGAAAAAAATGCAGGTTTATAAACCTAATTCCATCTTTTCACCCAGAAACTGACAAATACATTTTGTTCAACAAAAGTTTTAGTAGCATCAAGCAAAACTAGCTAGAGCCCTTAATGTACATCCAGGAAGCATACTGCAGACATTTACAATTATTTGTTTTTTATACTACTGTCCTTTTTTTGTAAGCAATTCACTTCAAATAGGCGTTCAGCTTCAATACAGTTACAGAAATAACATATGCTTACAGAAAGCAGTGTTATCTTCATTGCATTTTATTTTCTTGAGAAAAGGGGGAACTAATAAGAAAGGTGTCACGAGACCAAAATCAATCACTTCCGTTAAATCCCAGGAAACAAAAAGAAAAAAGAAGTTACAACCTCAAACAGTTTTTCATAAAACAAATAACAGAACATATCTTTACCTTTAAATCTTTTCTGTTCATCTCTTGCCATTTTTACAGCTAAGGCCAGTCCAATTCCTGAAGAACAACCTGTAATGAGGACATTTCTTCTTGCCATTCTCTTTAGTGAGCGGAACAAACAGGAGTTCTTGCAACTCAGAGGCGCAACAGCCTAAATGTAGCTACAGCGTAATGTAATCAGCCTTTAATGCTATCACCAGCTTTCCTGAGTCAACAAATCTGAAAATGCACACCTTGAGACTGCAAGATTAAGGGGATAATCTCCATCTAGGCAAAAACAGAAACTCATGCAGGAGCATCTGCTTATAATCCTCATTATCACCACGGAATAGATTTAATACAGTTTTGTATTAAACTTTGAAATGAGACATTCATAAACTACACAGATATTCTCCAAATGTCCATGTTTCCAGTGGAAAAATGTTTTGCAAGCTACTGGCAGGGAAAGCCTTGCTACAGTTACAATCAGTCTGTAGTGTTGAGTTCTCCAGACACACAGAAGGGAAGTAAACTGCACCCAAAACATGATCCCCTTGGTAAATACTTTCAGGCTTCCTATGCTTGGAGCACCCTCTCCATTTTTTCATGCAACAGAATAGTGAATGGATTTATTCTCTGCTGTCTTACTGACTATTATATAAGTGCTTGCACCTACATGTCTTGAAAGGCTTGAGAGAAAAGGTAAATTGAAAATGCATTTAGAATAACATAAATTGTTTAGACAGATTGCTCACTTTTTTTTTTTTTGGTCCCTATGCCCATCCAAGACCATGAACAGGCCAGCTTTGCACATCCTCACAGCCACCGAAATCTCTTTGAACACTTTCTATTCACCAACTGACAGGCTGCAAAAATAGAAAGAACAAAGCCCACCCCACCTCCCAAGTACTAGAGTAGTATCTGGTGTTTCAGTTTTGCAGCAAATATTCCACAAGCTTCAGATACAAACCCCAAATTAAGTAGTGGGACAGCTGGACTGGCACTTTGGTGCCGTTCACCTTTGATACGCAACAGCCATAGACATGCTGCAACACAGAAATAAAAAACAGTCTCTTGTGAAGCTTAATTCCTTTTTTGTCGCTCAAGATATCTTTATAAGCAATTAGCCTTCTCTACAGCACTCAGCTAACTGCAGTGCAATCTGTTACACTGAGAAAAATATATTCCAAGAGTCAGTGACCCCATGTTAATGCAAGAGTTCAGAAGAATGAACTTAGTGTTCCAAGGGTCCTGTAAATGCAAATTGGGTAACAACTCAAGAAAAGTAGGACTCCACAGAAATATTTCACTGAAGTTACAATGTTAGGAAGAAGATTCCTGTTTTCCCCACATAGGCATATACACTTGAACAGTATAGCAAGTGGAATCATTAACTCCTCAGGTAAGCAGCAAAATAATCAGACAGCATCCCTAATTAGTGAGAAATGTAACTGTGAGAAATGTATGATTCCACCTACTTGTCAGGTTTGACAAACAGCTTTACTGGAGAAAGCAATGCCCGCATAAACACTTTCAGTACAAACACTATTTAGCCGATTCAGTTATTAGGCAAAAATGGTTCTGCTGCTCATGCACATTTATATTTAGTGCGCTCAGGAGGGGCAAGTGAGGCTTTATGCAACAACATTAGTGGAATTCTGCTACTGTTATGATGCAACTGTTGTTAAGGATGAAATCCTAATTTGAAAGGGATAAATATTCCTTTGCTTTAAAAGATCAAGCTGAAATTTGATGCATAGATTTCTAGCCTGAAGGCAAACTGCTCTGTGTAAACTTGGGGGAGAGGGGAGAATAAGATATTTGTTGTTGTTTGTTTGTTTGTTTCAATTATTACACTGGCCAACTTAATTCTAAAGTTTTCAATTTGCTATTATATACAGAAATAAATGTTTGACTTGAAACATATATGTCAGTAAACCAAGTAAACTATTTTTTGCCACATCATAAATAGTGCAAAACTTCAGAAGCACATAAATTAGATGTGTATCTTGCTCTTTTGGAAGTAGCAAAATGTGTGTCTGGTGCTGTACAAGTACCAAAGTAGTGCAGCTACACTTGTGAGCATATTTCTGTAAGTAGTGAACAGCACCTACCACCTTGTACAGAGGTTGGCACACCTGCCCCTATACAGTTACTGAAATACAAGAGCCTGTTTTGCTGCACCAAATACTCTCTAAATACCCAAAACGTAATTTGGGCTTAATTTTTAAATTGTAGTACATTCATTTTTGTTCCTCCTGCTCCATGTCAAGGAGCTTTGCTAATATGATTTTATGAATTATGTATAGCATGGTTTAATGCATGGAAGCCAGGTGTGCATTACCTGCACTCAGTTCAGGCAACCAGTCAGATTTCTTTGACTCTTTCATAAATACAAATGTTAAGGACAGCCAAAACATTTCTGTACGTGTAATACATTTGGAATGTGTAATGTGTGTGAATGTGTAATGCATTTGGAAATCTAGCAATAATCATCTTTTGGAATGCATGGTTATGATGCTTCTTTATTCAAAAGTAGCTTTTATAGGTGCTCTTCTGAAAACAAAAACAAATCAAAAAACCACAAAACACCAGCTTCAGCCTTCATATCCCTGTTTCATACCTTTTTTACATCTGAAAAAAACCACCTGGAGTAAAGCAATCAGATTTTCCCAGAGTGTCTACTTATGGTCTGGATCAAATCAGTCTCCTAGAATATCTTACAAACCTGTCAATTTTAATAAGATGTTGTTTCTGTACATTGGATATGTACAAAAAGAAAGAGAAATATTCCAGATCAGAAACTATAAAGCAATACCACTCTTAGAAATCAGCTAGGGAACCCAAGTACATGGATTAAAATCCTAGTAAAAACACAATAGCTGAAATTCATTCCTACAATTCAAGATACTTAAAAATAAAAATTTATTTCTCGAAAACAAAATAATAATTATATCAAGGTAATAATATCAAACACACTTGAAAAAATAAAAAAGTTGGCATTTGTATCAGTACAAATACACTCATTATTTACAACTCTTCTATATTAAAATTTCCTCTTTGAATGCAGTGCTGCATGCAGTGCCGCCTGAATGCAGGCAGCAAGAGCTTGTGTGGCTACTGTGTGTCCAGTGAGAGACATCCTTCCTTCACAACTCTTGCCCCTGGAACAAAATGTCTGTGATCAGAATCTGCCTTTAAACCTCCCTGCTGAATTTACCAAATCTAAATATATTTGTTTCAAGATACTACTTTTCACAATGAAGATTTCTCTTACAAAATTAAGCAAAGTAATTGCAGAAGTCTCAAGTCTATGGATTCTTTTTTTAAATTGTTATCTAGACTAAAAGTATTATCATATTTTGATTACTCCTCTTATGGCTGAAGTCAATTTGCTTTCAAAATCAGGGTCACTCAGAAATTTTAATATAAATTTACCTCTAGCACATAAGTAGTAAAACATAATACAGAACAAACTGATAAGAAGTAAAAATACAGAATGCAAATCTCTTAAAAAAATGTACACTTTGAAACATCATTTGGATTGTTCTGTACAACATAGAAAGTTCCAATAAAATTTGACTGGATTATTGTGTTTACATTCCTAACGAGTTAAGTCTCTAAGAATTCAGGAGATGTTTATGAAAAAAAAAAAAACAATAGTGTCAAAATATTTAAGTCGGTAAAGAAGGGGAAAAAAATATGATTTATAGCGGTACAATTTGGTAAAAGTCTTGTTAATATAATCTTTCTGATTTTACAACAATACAAAGGAAAAACAGACAAGCACCTTACTAGTTTTTATTTTTAATTTCTAATGGTTTGGCACACTTAGGAAAAAAAAACACCAACAACACAAGTTGTATTTAGTTGTTTGACGCTTCACTTTTACAAATTAAAAAAAAAAAAAAACACCCCAAAATAGGAGTGTTTGAAGATCAACCAAAAAAACTCTATAAAATATGATCCATATCAACTATGATTACATTAGCCAGTATTATGGCACCACCGAAAGATCCATGAAGCCGATGAGAACCAGACTGGTGAGGGGAACCCCTTGCCCAGCCCACGTGCGTTGCAGGGGTTTTACTTCACAGTGGCATCTCTGCTCCTGCAGACTGAACGTGGACCTCCTCCTTGCACTTGTGCAGTACCACTTCCAGTTTGTTCTCATCAGAAAACTATCCAGTTCAACATGCTTAGATAGGAATCTTCTAATATATGGCAACAGACCCTATGGTTGCAGTTAATTTTAGGTACAAGAGCCATTATGTTGTTTGTACCTGTTCACTCTTAGCTAGGTGATTATTCTTTAATGAGAATGCTGTTTATAGAGTACTCAGACATCTGTAGGAAGTACATAATGAGCTTAGTGCTCATTGAACAAAAGACTATTATACTAGCTTCTGTTTATTTTTATACTATGATTAGATGCATTATCCTCCTCATAGGGTTCTGGATATTACAATACTACTAATACATAACAAAAATGTATATATTTTTGAACAAATACATTTTAAAAATGATGAACTGTATATTGATTTGGACTGAATTGCAGCAAAATAACCAACTCTTACATGACATGTTCCTCCTGTCTAATCCTTTAACAGGGTGGAAAAAAAAGAACAGACCTGTGGTCCTGTATATTACAGGAAGTTAGGTAGGATTAATGTTTTAGGTCTCCTAGGCCTAAATTTGTATGAATCTCTTCAGCTGTTTCTTGTTTGTCAATAAGTAGAAAACAAAGTGAAAGAGACTATTGTAAAAACAAAAAACAAAAAACAAAAAAAAAAAAAAAAGAAGTGATCAATAATTCACTTCAAGCAATTGCTGCCGGTAAAAGATCCTTTGAATACAAAAGACTGTTCTGTGTACAGAATTTGCCTTCAATATTTTATGTATACATAATCAAATCAACTTACCTTGTCAGGCAACCGTTCACTTGCAGCATGAATCATTTCATCTCTGATCTGAAGTTTTTGCTGCAGATTACTGACAGCATTTTGAGCCTCTTCTAACTCTCTCTTCATCTGTTTCAACTGTCCACTGAGAAGGCAAGAACCAGATTTTTGGTATTCTGTTGATGGCTGCCATTTTGCTTGCTCTTTCTGATGAGTCATCTTCTTAAATTTAGAAATATGACAAAAACATTGTAAGATTTACCTTACATTAATCTTTGTCAATCGAAGTATTTACCCTATCTTACTTGATAAATCAATTTTCAAACTTACTACTGTTAACATAATTTTCTTATTTCAGGAAAAAACTGTGGCCATTAATTTGCCATAAGAAAGAGTCCTTTACCATTGTTATTTAAGTATTTTTTTAATCAGGAAAGGACTCCAAATTCCCACAAAAAGAAAAATGAAAGGCCATTCTGAATGTTCAGCAAGATTTTTCCACTTCCTCTATTTGGAATACTGAGAACTTCTAAGGGTAGTATAGTACTATTTTGTAACAAGATCTTTATCACAGATCAAAGCAAATAAAGAATGATTCAGCTGAAAAAATCTGGAACCTGGTTATTTTCTGAGTTCCTGGAAGGGCAGGGGAAGAGCAGAAAAGTAAACCTCTGTGTAGAAACAGATACTAATTCCTATCTTGTAATAATATGTTTGCTGTAAAAAGCAGGCAAGAGGACATATAAGGGGGGAAAAAAGAGCAAAACAAGACCACACACACACTGTACACACAGATCCTTTCAGCAAATACACTGAGTACATATAGGCAAGCAATAGAGCATTTAGAAATCCTTATCTAGAATTAGAACAGAAACTTTCTGTGGAAGATTGGTCATCCTGCAATAAACAAGTATGTTACTAACGGAGAATTTTTTTTCTTATATATATCACTTCAAGCAAAGAAGCAGCCATATAGTATTCTCAATGGAGCCATAGTCCCTCTGTGACATATTCCACTTCTATACAGAATGCTGCTGAAATCTGGTTTTAACTACTTAACTATGCTGAAAATAATTTTTAAATTCCTCTTCATTGATCTCAAGTCTTTCAAGGCAGATGACTGGAATAGGTATATTTTCATTATCTCGTCTATACTATTTCCAGTATAAGTGGTAAATGGCAGAGGATCTAATTAGAGCTATGAACTTATTAGGGGCAGCATGTTTATAAAGGTACCTCATGGGATTTTAATTTTTTAGCTTTTTATTTGTGGAACCTTTTTCTGGTTAAGCTTTTCATCCATGAGTATTTATTTGATCAGAAAGACAGGACGTATAACAGGAAAATATCCTTAAGTGAATTCACATCACCCTCAAACCCAGCATAAGCAAAATTGCAGAGCCATTTCAGTTGTGTGTTTACCTCTAGCTGGCAAGCATCTTTTAACAAATCCAGTTCTGCAGAAAGTTTTTTTATCTCAGATTGCATTCGTGCTTCTAACTGAGCTTCACGAGCCTGAGCAGCACCAAGTTCTTCTGCCAAACGTTTTGCACGAGATTCCTGAAAAATAGTGATACTATGAATCATGCCTGTAAGTGACAAATGGTGTAAATGCAAACTATTATTTGAACTTGCTCAATCACGGGATGTGAGGGAATCTAAGTTTGTGTTTTATGTGAGGAAGCACAGAGGTTACCCATTTCTCTATTTGTTCATAGGGAGTCAGCATCTAAACAAGGACTAAAACACAACAGTCAACAAGCTGTAGTTGTTTAGCTTCTAGGACTAAGCCTAGCGAATAAAAGCAGTACAGAGTCACACTCCGTTGACTAGATGTTTGCTTGCAGTAAATGTAGTTGTACATTATATAGTCAAGCAAGACACCTCAGAATTTCGAATAGTCCTCAGAGATTACGCACAGACAGGAAAGGATGACCTCAGGCAGGTGGTTATGAAGTTGCTTTTACAAAATATTATTAATATCTTTAAGTTCTTTGCTTGAGAACACTCTTCCAAAGCTTGGTTAGGATTATATAGCTGTGGCACTTGAGGTTTCTAGAGACTAGTAACTGACAAATCAGGAAGACAAAATAACCATGTATTTGCAAATGAATGTACCCTTCTGTCTTATAATGCTCCCTCATGCTTCTTATATATATATTTTTTAATGATCAGTATTACAATTCTACATCTGCATTCTATTGATATGTCTTCACAACTAGCAACTACACACATTTGATAAGGAAGAGGGAGAAATGGAGACCAACTCAAGTAAAAACAGGTAGCCCGCATATAAACGCAGGAGCAGAACTGACTCTCCTATACTTAAGGCTATATCTTAAGCAGAAGAGCAATCTTCTGTTTTTATTTTTATTTATGTCTTGAAGAAAGCCATGAAAACTGCTATTTTATGCACACATAACTATTAGGCAGAAGTAGTTATCATGCTCCAATGAACCTCACAGATCGTCAGTGAAAAACACGGAGATATGCACATCCTTTCCTTCCATTTTCTCTGCACTGGCTACTAACCCGTAGTATCATAAAAGAGAGGAGTAGCTATATTCAAGATAGAACAGGAACTGCAGCTGGGTCTGACCTGTGTATGGGAAAGAGGAAAGACAGTGGGCAGACAGCTATTGCATGAGGTTTTGATTCAGTCCAGTTCCTTGCATAAACTTAGTTATGGAAACAGTTCAGCTATTTCCCATTTCTGTTCCATGCAGCAGAGGAAACAACACTTTTTGCTGGGCAGTTTGGTAAACTGGACAAGTCATTTTATAACTTGCTTGCTGTTCAAGCATTTTTAAATTTGGACATGTGTTTTTTTGTTCGTAATTACCAAGAAAAGACCTTTGCAATTTTCTCTCTTTCAGAACTGAAACAAAGCTGTCATTTATAGTGAAAGTCAAAGGGAAAAGAAATCCAAGTCCCAAACAAAACTACAATATGCTTCACTCTTACAAACTTTAAACTGCAAAGTAAACACAACTTTTCCAGAAACAAACATATTTTTCAATAGCTAGTTCTACCATTGCCGAAAATGTATTTGGAAATGCAGAGTCACCTTTTCTTGGGACAGATGATTTACTTCTTCCAATTCGTGTGAGAGCCGGTCTGCTTCCCTTTGAGCCTGAACTAGCATTCGACGAGCCTCCAGCAATTCCGAGTGCGTCTGCTGCAGCTGTTCTCGTTCCAGCCTCAACTGCTGTCCCAAATCTAATGCTTCCTTGTACTGGTCTCCAATGCAATTCTCCTGATCTTTCACTGTCTGTGATAAGTAAGTAACATCAGATCTCAAAGAATACATACACAAAACAACTTGCACTCATCCTTCCTCACAGGGGAAAACGAAACAAGCCCCAAACAGACAAAACGGAAAAAATGTAACATTCCTTTTGATATTTATAGATGCTTAAAGGTTGCAAAGACAAGACATGTCATATCATACCTCATCTATGGTCCATTTAAGCCCAGGGCCCTACCTCCCACAACAAGCCAATAGAGATAAAAGGAAAATGCAATAACACTTTCTAATGAAATTTTGCACAGTAACACATTCATAAAAATAGTGTGTTTTTAACTCATATTAACTAGTTGTTTATTTAGGCCTGAAAACAAATATTTGTATCCTTCTTAAATTAAAATTTAGCTGCCTCCTCTATGTGTATGCTCCTGTTCGCTATATAAAATTATCTTTTCTAGTTCCCATAAGCACCTTCAATCTTAGTGTTGTTTTGATGCAAAAGCTAGACAGTTAAGGTATAAGATGCTCTCATCATAGAGTGCCTTGTTTCAATTCATTTCAGGGAAAACCTTCTCCATATAAGATAAGATAATCAATATTTTTTCAAACTTCTCCACAAAACAAAACATTAAAGTGTACTGTTAAATTTGTTTATTGTTATACCTCTAAAATGTTTTAATTATAGTAAAGATTCATCAAACACATATAGCAATTCCTTGGAGAGAAATAACAACACTTATTTTAAAAGAGACGCTATACAGTTCTTTTTAGGCACTATGGTAAATAGTAAAACTGATAATCTGTTTAAAATGACCTTAAAGAATTTATGTAGATAATTTCACAGGATTTGCGAGCACCATGTTTAGCGAGAAGGCTGTTTTCTTACCTTGTTTGTTAAACTGCCAAACAAACAACAACAAAGAATGCTCAGTGAACTGTGATGAAAATATCCTGTGTATCCAAGTAACATTTTACCTTTTCAAAAGCTACTAGCCTTTGCTGATTTCTTTCAATTTTTTTCTTCAACTGATTTATTTCTTGATCTCTTTGGAGCAGTTCAAATTCTTTTTCACGAAGCTCATCTTTAGAATGCTGAAGTTTGCCATTTAAGATCTCGATCTGAACACAAAATGCAATGAAATCAGAACAGATAGATATTTTATCAAAATCGGGATAAGGATAATAATAAATTAGAAGTGCTGTCAGTATTACCTCTGACATTGGATATCCTTGCCAACTGTTCATAAAAGAATATAAAGTCTTCTTATTTTAAAGAAAATTTAAGCAGTTTGGTAGCTATATTTTATTAAATAAAAAGCCACACTTTGTTTACATGGGCATTTTCCTGTTATAGCTCAAGTGATGAAAAAAAAAAACCGCTGGCACAATATTAAGGTACTGCCTCCTTCCTTCTCTTCACAATAAGATACTTGTCTTGCTTTTTCTGGATTAAGCTTGCCTAGCTATTGTGTCCCAGGGAGAGGTATTCCTGTACTATTAAGAGCCCTGTTAGCATAACTGTTTTTTGTTGGTGGTGGGTTTTTTTAAGGCAAGAATTACCTGTTTATTGCATTCCTTAATTTCTAACTCCGATTTCTCTAAATTTCCTTCTAATTGAATTATTTGTTGTTCCATTTCTCCCCTATGTTCACGAACTGTCATATCCAACTGTGTAATCTAGAAGCAAAATGGAAAAAAAAGAAATATTTATTTTGCTCTACTATGTAGAATTTAAGAAATAATATTACAAAAATGAAAGCATAAGAAATGAAACTAATCCTTTTTAGTCTCAAGCAGTCAGTATAAAAATGCCACCCATGCATCTCTGGACTCATTTTCTCCTCCTCTTCTCTTTGAATTTGGACTGTATTTTTAAGTAAGTCCGTAACTGAATAAATTTGGTCCCCAGATACACAAAACTGAGCCCAAGTTCTCAGTTTAAACTGAAGTCCCCGAGTATTGTGTCATTTTAATCCTTCATGTTAGAAAATGCCTAACTTCTGGAGGAAGTAACTATTAGAAGGTTAGTTACAAGTGACAGAAGAACAGTTCTTCTATGAGGCGTATCAGGTCCTAAATTCAGACCAAAAGACTGAAAAAAATATAAAGTGAGCTAAAGAAATTTAATCACAGCAAATACACTATTTCATATTTAGAGGCCACTTTAGATCTAATCAAATATGCTCCCATGCAAACATGGAAAAGAATCTGTCATGTCAGAACCACTTCAAAGCAGACCCTTCCTTATTTTATCCAACATCAAAGAAACACTACCTGTCCTGTCAGAAATCATGGAACAGGTTTACATGAGGTTTCTGTTCTGTCAAAATAGTAATCTATCTGTCACAATAGTGATCTGAGACCACTTAATCATAATATAATGCAAGCTCTCAAAGGAACATAACCTAATCTGTCTTGTTGATGCAAGGCTTTAGGAACATTCAATTGGTTTTGAGGTTGACCCCCTGGCTATATTAACAATACAGTTTGGAACAATGTGT